GTAAAACGCTTGTTAAAGAAACTACGCAATGACATCATCTCGCGAATTTGTCTTCTATCGAAATACCTTATTCAAAAAGAGAACCAATAGTTGTGTGAAGCAATTGGCATTTTATTCCTATTTTCCTTGACAATTTATGAACATTATCAGCTTTATAATAAAAGTTCTTTTTGTATTTCCCAATGAATGAATGAAAAACAAAATGATATTGCTTTGTTTACTGACATTTCGCTATTTAATGCTGCTTTTAATAGCTTTATCAAAGTAGCTATATTGAACCACCACCACCACCAAGAAGTTCAGTTGAACTACAAAAGCTTGAAAAATCAACACCCATAGGTGGTGGCGGTCTACACGCTATAGAATCAGGCCACAAAATTGATTTTGACAGTATTGATATCATCATCCAGAAAAAGTATTTCAGAAATCACAAAAGAACGTCTAATATCATCAGAAGCACTTCAATATATCAAATGGAATCTAAACTGTCTGGTGAATAGGGATGATCGACTAAAACAGAATCTGACCTGTTAACTTGTTTATTAGATGTATTTATTTTATTTTTTTATTTTTGATTTACAGCTTGATTTCACACTGTATTTTCGGTACAAGTATGGAATTTTCAGCGTGGATATCGGTAGCCCAAAATTCGCAGGCCGACCATAGATACGGGTGTGAGTCGGCGTGGGCTCGAACCCCGGACCATGTGCATGGTAGGCGAGGATCCTAACCACTGTGCCACCGACGCACACAGTGATATAGCAGTATTATTTACTGGATGACGTTTCGAACAAAATTTATTGTTCATAATCATATCAACATTTGTGCGTTGAAGTTTCTGTAGCGATTTGGTTAAGTGGAGAAGAGTAAACACAGGAGTCAGACAAGGGTACCTATTATCACTCACTATGATATTCCTAATTGTGATGGACTGGTTTATGCGTCAGAAAGTGGGAAACGAGAAGACAGAGATATCCTGGACCGATGTGAAGAACCTAGAAGACCTGGATTTCGCACGTGGATGATTTATGTTCGATGTCACACAAAATCCAAGACTTACAAGCGAAAACTGACAAACTGGTCGAAGAAGCAGTCGGTGAAGACAGGACTCCAAGTGACATAGACAAGACGGAGGTTATGAAAATAACCAACCACCAACAACAACAACAGCAGCAACATCCAGCGCCAATCACCATCAACGGGAGGGATTTCAAAGAGGTTACTTCATTTACTTATCTAGGGAGCATTGTCTCAACTACAGGCAGTCGAAACGGACGAGGATGTCAAATCGAGCCAGAATGGGAAGGCGAGCGAGAAACACATTCATCAATCAACCTGAAACCAATCTGGAAATCTTCGTCACTCAGCCAGAATCAACAACAAAATTCAGTCGAATTTTCAATACAAACCACGTCAAGTCAGTCAGTTCTTCTATACGGATGAGAGGTTCCCTCCTTGTATGGAATTACTACTGATGATTTAGATTCCTTATTGTTGGTATTGTCTTGCGCATATTTGAAATGCATGTTGTCATTAATATTACTAATATTATTATCACTATCGCTACTATCATTATTTATTTTATTTTTACATTTCCCTACATATTTCCTGACTAATTTATCAGGGTAATTATTCATTTTTAAGGCTTTATTTATATGTATCACTTCTTGTCTTAGATTTCCTTGGTACTACTTTCTACTACCCCTACGAAAAATAGGAGAAGACAAAGAAAACTATAAAACTCAAATTTCGGAGTCGTGTGCTTACAATTGACATTATTACGAACAATAAATTTTGTTCGAAACATTGTCATCCAGTAAATAATGCTATTTCACTGTGTGATACATCTAATAAACAAACTAATATGGAATTAATTAGTACGACAGTGCCCAGATTTTACACATATATTAAGAGTTTGTCCCCATGAATTGACAAAATCAACACGAATACGGTAAGCAATTTCATTATGTAAGCACATAGTGTTTTTATAATTTTACACACACACCGAATCCAACAATCTAAACCTGGTTTTGTTATCTTTACGGATTGGCCAATTTGACAACGGGGAAATGACCTCATGCTGAAAAAAGATGATTGAGTTGTTATATATCAGCTGAGATTTTGTAAATTCTGGTTTAATAATACTGCTCTGATAAAGCTATTAGCAGCAGCATTAAGTAGCGAAACGTCAGCAAAAACAATATCGTTTTGTTTTTCATTTATTCACTGGGAAATACAAGAAAACCTTTATTATACTAGATGCCATATATACCCAATGCCCAAATGTTTTCAAACAGTGGCCCATGAATCCTAACTTCTGCCAATTCATGACATAGCGCGACCCTTAGCCAATGTCTTCAGCGAGTATTTGTCCACACACCCGACATGCTGCACCCTACTGGTCACGACTTCTCACTAGAACCCCAGGTAACTACCTACCTGAATAGGGTAAGTCGCTAGTGAGCTTCTCATCGATATTCAAGTGTTGGTTTGTAGGGATTTGATTGATTGGTTACAGGATTTCATCACATGAGCTGACACTGACTAGGGGTCGCGCTATGTCGTGAATTGACAGAAGTTAGAATTCATGGGTTAGCCATTGGATCGTGTCCCAGTGGCTTAATAGTATACGAGCTGGCTCGCCTTGTAACCAGAAGGTCCTGGGTTGGAAACCAGGTGGTGGGTGCGTACTGCTGAAGAGTCCCAAACTAGGACAAAACAACTTCAGTAGTCCCAGGTTTTCCAATGGTTCTCTTACCAATATCAGTTCATGATGAAAAACAATACCGCTTTGTTCTCATTCATTCATTGGGAAATACAAGAGGACCTTTTATCATAAGGAATATCATATATACCCAATGCCCGAATTTTTTCAAACTGTTAAAAGTGAACTTGGTTTGGATATATATATAAATTATCAGCTTTGACGAGAAGTTGGGCACAAAAAGAAATATTCTTTTTTTAATTTAACAAGTATCGATTTCCAAGGATTTCACTGATTGGTTACAGGTTTGATCACCTGCTGACATTAGTTAGAGAGCTACTGGAAAGTCTGGGAGTACTGGACAGCTGTTTCCTCCTAGGTTAGGTATTACAACTAGTATTACATATTACTGCTTAAGTTTATTTTTGGTTACTTATCTCCACCTGGTTTCTGCACATGATTATACATACATACCATGGAAGCAATGAGGTAGTTGTCAACAACATCCCACAAACCATAGAACGAACAAACTATTGCACACATAAAATGAAATTACAGACTGAGAAATTTGAGAGTGAGGAGTTACCAGTTCACTGAAGTAGCTAGTTAGCCAGAAATCGACTCTGTGTCTCTGAGGTGAGTCAAATAGCGTACACGCCTAATCATTATATTTCTTGACCTAGAGGTGGAATTCCATTCTGTCGACAGGGAGGCTCTCTGAAAATGCTTGACTGTAAAGGGAATGCCGAGAAAATACATTCCACCGATCAAGGAACTCACTCTACTGGAAATCATGCAGTCAGCAGGTGAGGACTTACGGCGACTTGTCATCTGATGTGGCGACGACTAGTGGTGTCCGTCTGAGATGCCCATTATCCCGATTTCTATTCAACTTCATCATATATGTACTAATGGACTTAACCCTAACTCACTTCGGAGACTCACGGATTGACTGCCTACCAGGAAATAATCTCGTTGACTTAGAATATGCATATGATGTAGTCCTCCCTCGTAGGTGAAGACACTGACAAAGTGCAGAGTCTTCTGAACACCTTGAGCTACAATCTACGAATGTTTGACATGCGATTCACCCGCTTCTGTCAAATGTAAGATGATCAGGCTACATGACTGGACTACAATGACGCCTAGTTTGAAAATGGGGAGTGAAGTGGTTGGTGGAGCACGTTGACCGCTTCACCCATTTGTGAAGTTGCATCAGCCAGCGCCAACAGGTTGATCGCTGATGAAATCTCAACACGGATACAGAGGGCTAGTTTCGCATGTCACTTTATGCCGTCTCTGGCGTAGACGTGATATCCAGCTGGGTATCGAGCACAGGGGTGAACTACTCAGCAGTCACTTCGCTCCATCCTCATATATAGCTGTGAGCGACACATCGCCATTGAGAGTGAAGGATAGGAAAAGCCTAGCTAGCTGTGTTTAATCATAGGTGTTTGCGTTCTATCTCCCGTGTGAAGTGGTATAATAAGGTGAGTAATACTGAGGTTAGGCCTCAGTCGAGTTCTAGGTAAGGAGGGGAAATCAATCGACGAGACTGTGAAGTTACATCGACTCAGTGAGATGGTTAGGACATGTTTCACGCATTCTGTATGCCTAGTCGTCGCCTTCCTCGACAATGGGCAATGTTAGCTGACATAGGGTGAGGTTGGAAAAGAGCTAGCGGAGGTCAAACCAAAACATGGCTTCACCAGTCAATGAAATCCACAACAGTTAGTTTAAGCCAGTCAGCAACCACGTAGGAAAGTGTAGACTTCCTCACTGGTTGGGGTCCTCAGGACAGTAAAAACCAATGAAGGCTGGAGACAATTGGTGATATGGCTGGCTCAAAATCCTCCTTCTCAATGGCTAGCGCAAATGCATCCACTCTTTGTGACTTATCATTTTGATATGTATCCACATTTCCAATGAAACTATATTGTTCTTCGTTATTACTATTCCTTTGTCTCACACCTCTATTTACTGTCTCTATTATACATTTCTTCTCTTGTTTGTGTGGTACATGGAGGGAGTGTGGCGACTTGAACTGCCGCACATATGTGCAAAGTTCTATGTCGAAAACAGACAGAGACAGACACCTCTGATGAGCTCGTCGCCAAACGTGCAACTTCAGTTCGATAATCTGGGTAGTGAACACAACTACTGATCGATTGATGCGTAATATACCACTACTACTCATTTCAATGAATCAGTGTTAGTGTATACGATTTTATGCGTAAACTGTGTAAACTGAAGCTGAGATAAATATGTAAAAAAAAGAAAAAAAGATGACACTTACGTTCAAGTAGATTTGGCGGTGAAGATACATTACATGGAGATTTCCATGTAGAAGGAACTTGATTGTTTTTAACGATACAATCTAAAATATAATAAAAGTAATAGAACATAGAGTATTTTAAATGAAACAAATTGAATTTTGAATATCATATTATACACATCTGTGAGTTTAAAAGCCTCACAGAGTAAAAAAACAACTGGGAATCACGCTGCTGAATATATATTAACATTAATGTATAATTATTATTATTAATTAGCTTACCATGAAATAATAATTATTACTTACTCCTAGATAGATCATTCTAAAAAAATGATCAAAAATAATGACTTTCTTTTAGAAGAACAAAATAAAACACCACAAACAAACCAACATTTTTTGTGTGTGTTTCAAACGAAAAGTGATAAACAATTACCACCAGTGATTGACTAAAAATCAGTGACACCTTATTGTCCGAATCAATGAGCAACGTTAGTGAGATATAAGGTTGGAAAAGAGTTAAAGATCATCAATCGATGAAGTCCTCCCTCAACACTTGATTTGAGCCAGTCAGTTAGGGAGGTATACACTGTCTCCTGGTTGTATCATCCCTCGAGGGGCTGGAGACTGTTGGTCATATGAGACTCAAGACCGTTGATAATGGACACAGATATATCCAATCTTTTTTTTAATCTGCAATATCTCTTAACTAGATACGAATTCTCAACGCTAACATCAAGTTAGTCAATGCTGATTCTATATGGTTCAGAGAAGTGGCGTGTTACCAAAAGTATTTCGGACAGGCATTGGACTTTGACCAGCCGCTTCCCTTTCAGTCTTTACTGAAGATAAAATGCCGGTCAGAAAGGAATAGTAAACAGCATAGAGAATAAGTGTAGAACAACAACAACAAGGAACTATGGCAGCAGTGAATTAACGAAGAACCTATTGTCTCATATAACGCATCAGGTTTTCGAGGGGAACAAGAATAATATTGAATGGAAGACGACAAGTTTAGGGGTGGGGCTGAAGCGGTAACATGAACAGCTGGTGTAAGGAGGAAATGAAAGCTTAAGAGCAATTTTGAAGCCGGCCGAAAAACAACCACCACAGGAAACAGATTGACGTGGTCATGTGTGTCGTTAAAGCCCTCTCGGTATGTTCCACTCAGAACACAAGGGAATAATAACAGTATTATTATTTTTATTATTATTTAAACGCGGAAAAAAAACCTGGTACAATATGGCACCAAGAAAGATGCGCCACAATAATAATAAAACAACATAGATCAAAAAAGAAAAAAATATCAGTAGAGAACGGATAAAGAACTTCATCTGGAAGGAAAACAGTCATACTTAACAAGTTCAAACAGTATTCGTTAACTATCATCGGGGAGGGAAGAAAGAAGGAAATTGCAACACCCTCACCATTGATGACTGCGAAACTTGGCCATATCCGATAACGTTTCGAGCTATCTCGTGGACACCAACCAGGGAGTCGTGACGCACCAACCGGTGCTAATCTAGCACATATATCCTTCAACCCACGACGCCACGTCATGGACTGACCACCCCTCCGCCTCTTCCAACCCCTCCCAGGGCTGACTACCGAACAGAGACCTGTAAGGAAGTATCTGAGATGACATTCGCAGCACATGTCTAAGTCACCGAAGCCAATGTTTCCAGATGACGACACTCAATGAATGGTGATCTCCACTGTGTTCAAACACAGGCCGCTGAACCTCAGAATTACTCACACGATGATACCATTGAACGCAAGCAATCCTGCGGAGACAGCGATGATCAAACACGCAGAGTCACCGCACATCCCCAGCCTACTCGGAGAGGCCAGGTTTCACAGGCGTAGAGCAAGACAGCCCGCCCGCAACGAAGCATTGTATACCCGACCTTTGACAGCCATGCTAAGATTGTGACGGCGCCAGAAGTGACTGAAGTTGATGTATGCCACCATAGCCTTCATTATACGGTTGGAAATCTCATCCGTCAACCCTCCCCGCCAGCACTCACACAACTATCCAGATACACAAACTTATGAACAACTTCAAGCGATTCACACGCAAGAGTGAGTGCAGGTACTGGCAGTAATAATAATAATAATAATAGGAAAAGATGAACTGCAATGCTTACAGTGTCAATCAAAACAGAGGAATAGAGTATTTCTTACTACAATTATACATTACTAATGAGAATGTATGCTCCAAATAAACAAAAAATTAACAATAAAATAATGGGCTGACTCATTTTTTTGGTTTAGCCTTGAATACAATGGTTAGTAATAATATCTATATATATTTTTTAAGCAGAAAAGTAGGAGTAAACTTATAGATTCCACAATCCAAACTTTAAAATATTGATAGAAGTATCAATTTTGCCCATTTGAACAAGCAGACTGAATACAACAACAATAGTATGAATATTGAGTATCTCTCGCCCACGCGCTCGCCCTCTTTCAAAACAAGTGAAATGCAGTACTCAAGCAAAATATTTAGGCTAAAAATATCAGAATAGATTTATTATAGAAAACAGAAAGATTGAGCGAGCGGAGAAATATTTACTTTTCAATTAGATCCTCATCTAACTCTGGCTCTACTCTAATATACACGTATAGCATTTTTATTACAATACACACAACAGTTTACCAATCAAGTGGCGCTGATATGTTTGTTAACAATAATTAGTCAGTGTCAAAATGTCAATGGGTTGATAATTAACGAAGTAGAAAATCAATACACATTTAAAATTTGCCTCTTCTATTTGTATCTACCAGTTTGACTGCAGCTGCTGAGCTACATTGGGTGTACAATTGGGCACCTTCATCATCGTATTTCCGAACATGATCCCACATGGTTACGCAAGGACAAACAAGATCTATTCGTAGTTCTGTTGTAGCACACTTTATAGATAGTGAGCATAATTTATTATTATAATTATTATTGTTCCCTTCAGTTCCTAGTCGAACATAGGGCTTCAACTGCACGTCTCCACTTCCATCTGTCTTCTGCTGTGCTTTTCACCTCCATCCATGTCAGTCCATACTATTTCAACTCCTCTTCACACAATCTCATCCATGTCACCCATGCACTGACGACCAACTCGCCGCTTCCCTTTCGGCCTGGTCCCACTCGAACAATGGCCTGACACGCGCCCAATGTCACCCAGCCGCCTCCTCAGCGAGCGAGTCTCCATTCAATTCATCTCCACTTTCTCCTGCATATTTATTTGTTGGTTGGCGATTGGTTCTTGTTTTGTTTGTTTGTTTGTTTCTTCCCAGTCAGAGTTTCTTGTTGGTGATTCTTTCCCACCCGGTCATCTCATCTTCAGTATAGATCCAGCGAAGACAGTTGTTGGTTGATAAAGGTCTGCATGCAACAGGCTGTCGGAAATATTCTTTGTGACCCGCCCGCCCGCCGCCAACTTTCTGATCCATATAGAAAGAAGAACTAACTGACTTGACGTGGTTTGTATTGAAAATTCGACTGAATTTTTTTGTTGATTCTGCCTGAGTGACGAAGATTTCCAGATTGGTTTCAGGTTGATTGATGAATGTGTTTCTCGCTCGCCTTCCCGATTCTCGCTCGATTTGATATCCTCGTCCGTTCCTCCTGTATTGATTTCCTTCGTTAATTATCAACCCATTGACATTTTGACACTGACTAATTATTGTTAACAAACATATCAGTGCCACTTGATTGGTAAACTGTTGTGTACTGTAATAAAAATGCTATGGATATATATTATAGTAGGGCTATAACAACAGAAGACAAGGGCCAAGCAACAGATCGTTTATTAGGGAAATCAACACGTATTTATATATATTTCATGTACATTATTATAGCTTATTCAAGCAGACAAACACACTCTTCTGATTGGTTGTTTCTTACAGAAAGTGTGCCTTGCATCTTTTTGTGACTGTTTCTTGAATGTCAGATCATCTATATGTTAACTGTATCTGCCTATGCCAAGTCTGCTGTGATTGGTTGTTGAATTAGTCTTGTTCATATTTTCTCACCACCAATATCTGGGACACACCCATTGACGTAAAATGCTGTCTGCCATTTTTGGCAAGTCTGCTCTCACCACAGGGCCAGAGATGAGGATCTAAGACAAAAGTAAATATTTCTTCGCTCGCTCAATCTTTCTGTTTTCTAAATGTCTAAATTGGGATTATTTTTGAGTGGATAAAAATAAAAGGACATTGGCAGCAGTAGTAGTATTCATCACCAGCAAAGCTTACTTGATAAAGATGTTGACGACAACCGACTGGATACAATAGCAGGATCATCTAGTTGCCAGGTTACTGCTGAAGATGCTTCACACAGAGAGAGAGAGAAGTTATAAAATTGAATAAACAAAACAAATATAAGTGAATAGCTCTCAGACAACTGTTGTTGTTATTATTATTATTGTTAAAAATAAAGCAGTAATATGTAAGTGATTTCCAGAGATACACATATATATGTGTGATGACAATATAAATAGCCAATGGGGACACCAATTACTGTGAACGGGTAACATTAACGAAATAATTACAATATGATGATAACCGCGCATGTACACTACTCTACAGACAGAAAGAAATCTAGAATATCTCAGAGAGAAGTGTTTCTTTATTTTGAAGGTGTTAAATATTCAAGCTTAGATTTAGAGTTGACACAATGAATCAAGGATGAATAGTAATTACTATACAAACAGGGGGATTTTGATGAATCATTGATTATATACTGATATTTACGCCATTGTATGTCATCCTTTTGTGCTGATGAAATAATCGATTACCCATTATTAAAGAGTATGTCATGTGTAACAATTCTCTTTATCTATGTCACTTGAAAAAGCTCGTGTTGTATTTGACAGCCTACGTCATCTTTGGTGTAAACGTGATATCCAACTGGCTATCAGTCAAAGGATGTGTACTGCTCAGTCGAGTTCGCTCTATCCTCCGTTATAGCTGTGAGATATGGCCATTGAAAGCAGAAGACATGGAGACGATAGCTGTCTTTAATCATAGGTGCCTCCGATTTATCTCCCATGGTACGCATGCATAACCAACGCCTTCCACTAAACGAAAAATGTTAGCTGACATAGGCTTAGGTTGAAAAACAACTAAAGGTGGCCAAATGAAAACATCAAATCAGTCCACAAGATCTTCGATAGTCAGTTTTGAGCCAGCCACGTAGGCAAGTGTAGATTTCCTGGCTGAGGACCTCAGGATTCTAAGAACCAATGGTTGGAGACAATCAGTCATCTGGCCCAAAATCGTTCACAATGGTGCAGATGCACTCAGTCTTCTGTGATCTGCAATATTCAATAAAACCGTATTGTCTTCCTAAATTACTATCCTTTCTTCCTCACATTCTTGCTTATTAATGTTCTTCTGAATCCCCTCCTCTGTGTGTTTCGTTGAGTGTGGCAACTTGAAGTGAGATGCACTTCTGTGCAAAGTTCTATGTAAAAACAAGTCAGTCTGTCTATCCTACTTTAACCCAAGTTTAGTGGTGTTATATCGCTAATAAGATTGAAGCTAGGAGTAGAATGCTAGGTGGACAGCGTAAGTGTCAATCAATGAAGTTGTAAAGGTGAATAATCAACTGAGACAGTTCGGGCACGTATCGCGCATGCCAAGTCACCGTCTTCCTTGAGGAGTAATGTTAGCTGGCATAGGGTTGTGTTAGTTGAGAGTTAGAGGTGGTCTTTAACAACTGATTTGAGCCAGTCACGTAAGGAGGTGTAGACGACTCGGTTGAGATTCTCGGGATGCTAAGAATCCAAGGCGAATCAATTGATGATAAAGCTCCAAATTCAGTCAGTCAGTCAGTCATGCTATTTTACATAACCTGAAAGATATAAAAGTATTACAGGTGTCTGTCCATTAAGTGCCACTGTTCAACTACCCTTTCCACTCTGACAGGAGGAAAAGTTCAACCCCAAAAAGTGTACAATCCGACTTACCATACGGTCCATAGCCAGTGGTCGTTACAATACCGAAACAACCCTAAAAACCAGTTCAAACAAGTCGTGTGTCATCGACCCCAATCAGTTGCCCCCTGGACTCTGTGGTCACGCAAAATTAATTCTCTCTCCGTTTCACGTAACTCACAAAAAATTGAGATGAGGCCACAACTGAAACTTCAAATCTTGAAGACATATGTTGCATTTAAGACACCAAACAATGAACAAAATGGGCAACTGAGTCCCATTGAGTAGAAAAAGAAACCCTATCAAGTCCCTTCTCAAAAAAACACCAATCGCATATACACGGAAGACACATACATTAAACAGAGAACTACAGTCTTCCCATAACACTCTAATTCAAAATACTTATCCACCAGAATTCATCGATAAAAAATACGAAACGCAAAATGAATAATATCCACAAAAACCAGAGGTATCAAAGAAAAAGTTAGTGATAAACCTGAAATCTAAAAGTGACAACAGTCTTCACCGTATCCTCAAGTCTCACAGTCTCCATGCTACCTTGTATTCATTAAAATGTCGAAGACAATGTTTCACTGTTCGCTCCTGTGAAGTTAAGTGTATATACGCCGCACCAGTGGGATACTGTGTAGACGCGCACAACAACCTCTCCCAATACGGTTGTCGAAAAGGGAAATTAGACGAACCAACAGTTCAATTTTTGAACACCTGATTCTTACAAATCATTCTACACCAATACGAGAAATCTTTCAAAACGACACATAACGTAAGGCCGAGTCATTTGAAAGGTTTCTGGCTACATTTTCAATCCATAGCAGAAGCTGTTGACATACACACAAAGAAAATCCTGAAATATATTTACAGAAGCGGATTATCCAGTTGGTCTTATTACCTCAGCGCCTTAAACTCTCACTTCTGCAAATCGCAGAATAACTCGTTCATTCTCACCCGGTTTTTGTCTTCGTCTTACTTCTTCCTTTCAAAACTTCCAACTTTAAATTATACTCAAGTGTTGGTTTGTAGGGATTTGATTGGTTACAGGATTTCATCATGAGCTGCCATTGGTTAGAGAACCACTGGAAAACCTGGGAGTACTGGACAGCTGTTTCCTATGTCCCAGTTTGGGACTCTTCAGCAGTACGCACCCAACGAGGTTCGAATCCAGGACCTTCTGGTTACAAGGCGAGCTCGTATACCATTAAACCACTGGGACCCGATCCAATGGCCGACCCATGAACTCTAACTTCTACCAATTCACGACACAGTGCGACCCCTAGCCAATATCTTCGGCGAGTACTTCCCCCACACCCGAACTGCTGCACCCTACTGGTCACGACTTCTCACTAGAAACCCAGGTATATGTATATATATATATATATATATATATATATATACTTTATAAATCTCCTAAATCTCTCGCCACTTTGAACAATGTTCATGTAGCTAAGCTTTAGTCATCTCTAATTTTCAATTTTTCCATGGTAACCATTACTGAGTGGCACTCATCACTTATCGCTTTTTTAGATTGCGTAATTTGTCATATTTTGTTTGATATGTAGATCTATACGTTTTGTTACCAACCAATATGACTCAATGACCTTATATATAGGCGATTCCCTGACCTTTTACAACGCTGTTATATGACTGTACACCTTTGAAGTGAAATTATAAGACAAAAAAACAGAAGCCTCCAGTATCTAAAGTGTGTGAAAAGAAAGGGCACTATACATCTATCTATCCGTACATAAACACCGCTAACTTATACCACTCATCAGAGAATCATTTTGCCAGTATTAACAACCAACGCATCCAATAATTGAAATAAATGTTCACTAGATTTTCAATACTAATGTTAAGTTGGTCAGAAACTTGGTCACAGTGCCAAGGAAAGCATTTCCAACAGCCACCTGCAGACTTTTATCAACCGATGCCACCTTCGCTGGCTCCATACTGAAGATTAGATAGCCAGTTAGAAAGAATTAACAGCATGAAACTCTAATTGAATTTTAGATTTTCCCATCGATTGATTGATTGGATCGAAGTGCTCGGTCTCAGGTTGACATATCGGCTCCTTGTGCAGATGTTTCGACGATGTCTGGGCATTTAATTAGTATTTATTTGGTGGATGGTGAATAGCAGTGGAATCCAGGATAATGCGCATTTCGTCCTATTTGGGACTCGTCAGCTAACTGGATTACCTACATTCCTCAGTCATTGAGTGATGTTCCCACTGAGGCTCGAACCCAGTGCCCGAGTCCCAACTAGGACGAAATGTGCATCCTGGATTCCACTGCTAGTCACCATTCAACAATTAAATCCTAATTACATGCCCAAACATCGTCGAAGCATCTGCACAAGAAGCCGAAATGTCAACCTGAGACCGAGCACTTCAGTCCAATCAAAATCTAAACATTTAATTAAATTAACATGACTCGTTGCCCAATTGGTCTAGTGGATAACGCTTTGGCGTTTGAAACTATGGATACTGGGTTCGAGCCTCAGTGGGATCACCATCACTCACTGAGGAGTGCAGATACATCTAGGTGACGAGTCGTAAATAGGACGAAGTGCGCATCCTGGATTCCAGTGCCAGTCACCATCCACCAATTAAACCTGAAACTCTGGTAGAAAACGAACCAATCAAGAATCCATTGCTCAATAAATATGCTAGAGTAAAAATGAATATGGATCGGACAGACACCACTAAGGAGACAGTCGGGTGACATCGTACGCCAGGTCATTGCTCAATGAAACTCAAGAGGGAAACGACGAGTTGGACCTGTATCCGAGCGAGGTTGATATGGAGGAGATGAATGTTTATGGGGCGATATAGTGGCGCCAGCCTACGAGGATTGCATAGAAGAGAACGAATTAATTCCACGACTTAATTTCACATTCCCTTCCTGTCTGCAAGTATACAATATCAAAGCATAAAACAATAGGCAATGAATGAGTAACAGTTGTTGCTTTTTTTAAAGACAATAGAAACTAACCAACTCACCAACTGCAAAGCAAGTAACAAACATGCTTACCTGGATGATCAGACGACGTAGAATGATGAGGATCTACATCTACCATGCCTGTATTACTGCAGCCAGAAAAGCCATTATTCTAAAAATTAGTTTTTAAAAGAAAACGAAAACCAAAGTAAAAGACATCAATACAGCATATATTGAACTAGACGACAAAAAATATGCCCCTCCCCTTTTTTAAAAAACTCAATCAAAAAACTAAGAAGTAGACGCGTCTTATTTTAGAATAAAGCAGTGGGAAATCACTAAAACATTTTTACGAAACAAAAAAAGACTAGCTAATAAATGAAGTGTTACATTTAAGGCACGCGCGCGCGCACCCACGCTACTTTTGTATCAACCTGTTCAGTCTTACTTAATCAAATTTCTTTTTTTAAACTTGAGTCATTCATAAGCATTTGCATTTATACATGGTAAAAGACAAAGAAGAATAGTAATAAATTACACAATGCATTATTACTGTCTGTCTGTCTGCCAGTCTATTTTTGACATAGAACTTTGCACCGATGTGTGGCAGTTCAAGTCGCCACACTCCTCCATGTACCACACAAACAAGAGAAGAAAGTAGAAGAAATGCATAAGAGAGACAGTAAACAGAGGTATCAGACAAAGGAATAGTAATAACGAAGAACAATATAATTTCATTGGAAATTATGAGTCACAAAGAGTGGATGCATCTGCGCTAGCCATTGAGAAGGAGGATTTTGAGCCAGCCATATCACCATCACTTGTCTCCAGCCTTCATTGGTTTTTACTGTCCTGAGGATCCCAACCAGTGAGGAAGTCTACACTTTCCTACGTGGTTGGCTGACTGGCTTAAACTAACTGTTGTGGATTTCATTGACTGGTGAAGCCATGTTTTGGTTTGACCTCCGCTAGCTTTTTTCCAACCTCACCCTATGTCAGCTAACATTGCCCATTGTCGAGGAAGGCGACGACTAGGCATACAGAATGCGTGAAACATGTCCTAACCATCTCACTGAGTCGATGTAACTTCACAGTCTCGTCGATTGATTTCCCCTCCTTACCTAGAACTCGACTGAGGCCTAACCTCAGTATTGCTCACCTTATTATACCACTTCACACGGGAGATAGAACGCAAGCATCTATGATCAAAAACAGCTAGCTAGGCTTTTCCTATCCTTCACTCTCAATGGCGATGTGTCGCTCACAGCTATATATGAGGATGGAGCGAAGTGACTGCTGAGTAGTTCACCCCTGTGCTCGATACCCAGCTGGATATCACGTCTACGCCAGAGACGGCATAAAGTGACATGCGAAACTAGCCCTCTGTATCCGTGTGAGATTTCATCAGCGATCAACCTGTTGGCTCTGGGTGATGCAACTTCCCAAATAGGTGAAGCAGTCAATGTGCTCCACCAACCACTTCACTCCCCATTTTCAAACTAGGCGTCAGTGTAGTCCAGTCATGTAGCCTGATCATCTTACATTTGACAGAAGCGGGTGAATCGCATGTCAAACATTCGTAGATTGTAGCTCAAGGTGTTCAGAAGACTGCACTTTGTCAGCGTCTTCACCTAGAAGGGAGGACTACATCATATGCATATTCTAAGTCAACGAGATTATTTCCTGGTAGGCAGTCAATCCGTGAGTCTCCGAAGTGAGTTAGGGTTAAGTCCATTAGTACATATATGATGGAACTGAATAGAAATCGGGATAATGGGCATCCCTGACGGACACTGAAATGGAAGTTGCCAAAGCAGAGGACAGAGCCATAAATATGGATGAATCCATAAAACAAAATATATATATATATATGTCATATATTCTCTTTCCTCCGGTTTCCCACTGAGATTCATAGGCAAGAATCTAAGATCAAAGAAAGCTGCTGAACAGATCCAAGTCACACACACACTTCCGCCCCCGAAAAGAAAGATGCTGCTGCTTAATCTCCAAAGTAAAAGTGGTCCTGAAGCGGAAACTCTCCGTAAACGGCTTTCGAAATCTTGCAGTAAAACATACTTCTCCGCCAGCTTACGGAGTGACATGCTCTTCTAAGAAACTATTCAACCAGCCAGCAAGTGAAAGACGAACTGTCGCATCGGGACACTTCAACATGCCTATACCAGTTCACTTGGAGCTCGTGTGGAAAGGTGAGTACATTGGCCGTACGATGCTTCAGCTTGTAAAACGTGCTATGGAACATCATCCAGCCTGGTTGACAAACGGAGAACGTAGTTGTGTCCATAGCTCGGTAACAGAACAGCTGGTGAACTAAAGACATTCACCTCCATTTGAAAGTCCCTCAAAGTCATAAGTAAGTTCAGATCAAACCTATCAAAGTGAAATCAAGGCATCTGGGCATAGCTGAGGCAAAAACGATCCAGAAATTCAAGCCCAAGTTATGTATCCAAAACAAATGCATCGAACCTTTGTCTCTACCATACCATGACCATCATTATCCCATTACCTTTCTTATCCAAACTTCTTGTTTATTTCTGGTAATTTTTATGTTTTTAATCCCTATATCCAATACTATGTTCTTCTTATCCGAACCTTCTGTCTAGTTTGTTAATGCTACATTTTGAAGCCCTCTTTGTACAAAAAATCAATTTTCTTATTAATTATGGTCGTACTATGTTATTTATCCGATCTTCCTGTTTATTATTACATTAATCTGACCCTTTACCCTTTGCGACCTTCTCACCCAAATTACTAATGATACAAGAATGTACACAGCCTAGATGATGATGATGACTTCATTGAGAAGCAAATCCCCTTAGCTGCAATCGTTTTTTTTTATATTTCCTATGATCTAATGTGTATATTAAGTCAATGCAAGAACTTGTGCGGAATTATGCTCTCATTTATCCCAGGCAAAATACTAAGTCGCATCATCCTGGAGAGAATAAAACACGCCGCCCTGGATGATAAACGTCGACCAGAACAGACTGGACTCAGGAGAAACAAGTTATGTATTGGTCAAATCGCCACACTACGGATCATCTCATTGAACAAAGCTTGGAATGGAAATCATCCCTCTCTTTCAACTTCATCGACTTTGAAAAGGCCTTCGATAGCGTCAGTCGAGAGGTCATTTGGAAACTACTTCTCTTCTACGAGGTGCCACCGACAATTATACATCTCATCCAACAGTTGTACGACAATGCTGCATGTCAAGTAATCCACAACGGGAAACTTACGGAAGCCTTCGAAGTGAAGACGGGAGTAAGACAAGCTGGCTGCCTACTATCGCCAATGATTTTCCTGATTGCAGTAGATTGGATAATGCGACAGACAGCGAGCAATGAGGAAACAGGCATAAAATGAACTTCGACGATGATATATGTCTGATTTCCCACAAACTGGAAGATATATGCAAGTGAAAAGCAACAAGTTGACAGAAGAAGCATCAAAGATAGGACTCCAAGTTAACACAGAGAAAACAGAGGTGATGAAGATTCTTGGGCGACACCAACTGCAAAACAACAACAACAGACAACAAACGGCCAGCATAAATGGGAGGAACCTGAAAGAAACAACCTCCTTTACCTACCGAACTACCTGGGAAGCATCGTTTCAACTACAGGCGGAAATGACGATGATATCAAACCAAGGATCGGAAAAGCAAGACAAGCTTTCATTACTCTCAAGTCTGTATTGAGGTCAACAGCACTCAGCATCAAAAATAACATCCGGATTTTCAACTCCAATGTGAAGTCAGTGCTACTCTACACAGATCAGAGACTTGGCGCGTCATAAACAGCACCTCAAACAAACTACAGATCTTCATCAACATGTCTTCTCTGGAAACTACTCAAGATCAGATGGCCAGAAAAGATTAGCAACAGGGACCTCTGGTAATGAACGAAACAACCCAGCAGGAACTGATTGTGCAACATATACGCAGGAAGAAATGGAGGTGGATTGGCCATACTCTGAAGAAACCACCAAGTGACATCACTAGACAAGCCCTCGAGTGGAACCCGATAGGGCAGCGGCGAGTTGGTCGTGAGTGCGAGGGTGACTTGGAGGAGGTCATGTGAAGAAGAGATGAAAGCATGTGGGCAGACCTGCAGCCACGTGAAAACTTTAGCAGAGAACCGAACGCAATGGAGATGCGCGGCTGAAGCCCTATGTTCCCTAGGAATTAAAGGAAATAATAATGTGTATATTCTGTAATCTTCAGTAAAACTAAAGGACACTGATACATTGACACTGTTGCTACATGAGATGAATAGAAACAATTATATGAAATATTCCGTAAGGAGGGTATTATTAATGATGACGACACTAAGACCAGACATGGACTACAACAATTTTCAAGAAACCTATCGACTAACAGATATGCATAGTGAAATGAAGATGGATCGGACAATACGATAAATATAGACAGAATGGGAAATGCAATGGAGTTACTTCCGACTGTGAATATTCATACATCTAAGGTTTGAAATAGTGACCTAACTCAGAAAATGATGGATACTTCATCCCCAAACATTATCCAATGCTGAACAAACTGAAAAATCAACCAATACCGCCTTGACCGTTGGTTGAAATATTCGATTTCAATGTCCTGTTTCTCTTATAACCAAAAGTGGTTCACTAATCGATTATAATTACATTCAGGACAACACCTTGAATGCTTCCATTAGTCTAGGTTAAAGAACATTGAATATCTCGTGCAACTTCTGAGTCACTTTGTTTCTCATATACACTAGCGAAGTACGCCATCGTTAGACGGGTTCTTGTGGCATCTATCACAAAGCCTTAGTCATCTTTCTCTCTCTCTCTCTCTCTCTCTCAGCCACAACTAATGCGAAAGTGATAGATCACACAGTCTGCCAACACAATCAAGCTACCATCGAAAACATTTAGCAGAGGAAAAATTAAAATAAAATAAAGCAGTTACTGCTATTGTGGTGAAAACAGTTCACAGGGTATCGTGTATTAAAGAATAAAGCTTTAAATCCACCTTGATAAATAATGTTGTGGCAACATTAATTAAGATGCCTCCCTCCAAATTATAAAGGATTTTCTAGTAAGACTTTCTTTTCAATCTTGATGCAAAGGAAGTCAAGCGTTCGGATAAAATTATACTAAGCCGGTGAATCGAAC